AGAAAGAAAGAAAGAAAGAAAGAAAGAAAGAAAGAAAGAAAGAAAGAAAGAAAGAAGGAAGGAAGGAAGGAAGGAAGGAAGGAAGGAAGGAAGGAAGGAAAGAAAGGGAAAGGAAAGGAAGGAAGGAAGGAAGAAAGGAGGAAAAAATAATGACAATCTGTAATCTGGATGTCTAAAATTAACAACTGTCAGGTGTGGTGGCAGATCTCTGTAATCTCAGCGCTTAGGAGTCAGACGCAGGAGGATCACTGCAAGTTCGAGGCCAGCCTGGGCTGCACAGCAACTTCAAGGCCAGCCTGGGCTGTATAGTGAATTCAAGGCCAGCCTGAACTACACATTGAGACCCTGATGACTAAAAAAAAATAAATAAATAACACTCATAGGATTAACATCAGGCTTCAAATGAGTTAATATTGTAAAGGACACAGAACAGTGCTTAATAAATACATGCGATATATGTCATTATTGGGAAAAACTAAATGAGGACAAAGCTAACCCCAGATTCTAGTTCCCATTCCAAACCACTTTGGGGCACCCGGTCTCTCCTGGAGCAGAAGCCAGCTGTGTCCTCCAATCCCAGCCTATTCAGCTCTCCCCCAACCTCACTGATGCCCGAGCCGCATCAGCCAGGGTACCCTGACCCCACATCTCCCCTCCCCTCTTCCACTTTGGTTCAGGGCTCTCCTCTCAACTGGGCCCAGAGTGAGGGCAAGACCAGCCAAGCCATGGCTATTGGACTGCCCTTGAGGCCCAGATGAGGTCTGAGAAAAGAGAAATGGATCTGTCTGTGGTGGGAGGCAGAGGGCGCCAGAGGAAGAAGGCCCCAAGGGTGGGTCCTGGCTATCCTCCTGCTCCTGATCCCTACTCCAGGGATAGCTCCACTGCTATAAGCTACCCACGCCTTCTCTTGCAGAGCTGCCAACATCCCTCACATACCTGTGGGTACAACAGGAACAGGAAGGGAAGGGCACAGGTAAGAAGTAGGGAAAGGAGATCAGACTGGGACAACTGGAACATTTCCAATCCCAAAGAGAAGGCAAATTGAGGCTTCAAACCTGCCCCAGCCTGTGCATTATTTGCTTCCCAGAGTGATGTCATCCTCCTGTACCTCAGAAATGGGTCTGTTAGAGGCTAGAAGCCCAACCTCCCTGGGGAGGAAGGTTAGGGAGGCCCTAACATCACCTATTACCACCAGGCCCACCTGAACACCCAGGTCTTCTACCCCTGTGTCTGAGAACAAGAACAATAGCCCAAAACCCAGCTGGTGCTCAGGTGATTCATAACACCATAGAACAGGTATCTGATCCCATCTCCTGTCCCAGGTCAAACTTCTCAGCCAGGCATAGTGGCACATGCCTGTAATCCAAGGATTTGGGGAGGCTGAGAAAGGAGGGTTGCAAGTTTGAGCCCAGCCTGCAACTTAGTGAGACCCTGTCTCAAAATAATACAGAAAGAGCTGGGGATGCAGTTCAATATGGAGGTCCTAGGTTCAATCTCCAGCACTGCAATAAAACAAAACCTTCCTCCCTCAACAGTCACAGCACAAGCATTTACTGAGAAGCTAGTGTGAGCTGGGCAGTGTGTCACAGAGAATGAGCAAAGCAAAGTGCCAGGACCCTGGGAGATCCCAATGAGGGAGAGAGCCAAGGTCAGTTGCCATCTGCACTGAGCAGAGGGCAAACCCAGGGCGGAGTGGCTCCAGGACAAGGAAGTGGTAGAGCAGCAGACCTGTCCTCGGTACAGTACTCAGTTTCTGCCTCGCCTGCTCACTTTCCCTCCCCTCCATGTCCTTGTCACATGGGCCTTCCTCCCACCCAGGCCTTGGCACTGGCTGGTCCCTCTGCCTGGGAAGTCACATCTAACTGGGGGGGTTCCTCCCCATAAATCAGGTTTCTACTCCCAACTCCTCAGAGAGCCTTCACCCCATGCCCCACCTTAACCTATTTTCACTCTCTCCATAGGACTGTTTTTCATTTGCTCGCCCTTTATCTTTACCTACCCAACTGCACTACAGGTATACTAACACAGCAGCCCGTCACTAAACTGCTCAGCACCAGAGGATCCAGCTGTTGGTGGAACACAGGGGGACTATAAGCTTCCCTGGAAACTGGGCTGGAAGGAGGAGCCAGATGGGGGGACATTCCAGCTAAGGAGCTGACCCTTTCATTTGGGATAAACCGTCCAGTCCTTCCTTATGTTGAGTCACGAACTTGACTTCAAACCCCTCCTCCCCCAGATTCTAGGTCAACCCCTCCTGAATAGACCCACCAGAAACCTCCTCCTAATCCTTCTTATTGAGTTAAGACTTGAGTCTTTTCTTAACTCCCCCCTTG